TGTGGTGTGTTCCATTTTTTGTCATAGGGTGCTGGCAGATTACGGGCCTCCCATTGCTGCTGCCAGGCCCCTAATCTGCCATGGGGCCCCTGTACCGCCTCTTCATGCTGCTGCCAGGTCCAGAGTGTGTCATGGGTCCCTGTACGGCCTCCCATGCTGCTGCTGCCAGGAGGCAGCAGGGTGCTCGCAGCAGTGTCAGTGGAGGGAAACGGCCACGGAGTAGAGCACCAGCTCCACTGCAGCCTACCACCACGGCCAGTAGTGGTGCCGGTGTGCACGGAGGAAGTAGCAGTCAGCCAGTGAGGAGTAGCGGGGGACAAAGTTTCCTACTCGGCGGTGTGGCAATTTTTCGTCAAGCCGCCGAGGAAGTAAACGTAGCCGTATGTCGACTATGTGGCCAGAAAGTCAAGCGTGGCCAGGGGCCCATGTTGGGACTACAGCGTTGCGTCAGCATATGCAGCGTCGCCATTCGGTGGCCTGGGAAAACCGTGATAAAGATACGGCGGTTCTGCCTGCCCCAGCCCAGGGTTCCATTTTGTCATAGGGTGCTGGCAGATTACGGGCCTCCCATTGCTGCTGCCAGGCCTTAATCTGCCATGGGCCCCTGTACCGCCTCCTCATGCTGCTGCCAGGTCCACAGTGTCTCATGGGTCCCTGAACCGCCTCCCATTGCTGCTGTCTCCATCGCCACACTCTGCCATGTGCCACTTTCAGGTCTCCTCACACACTGCTGGTGTGTTCCATTTTTTGTCATAGGGTGCTGGCAGATTACGGGCCTCCCATTGCTGCTGCCAGGCCCGTAATCTGCCATGGGCCCCAGTACCGCCTCCTCATGCTGTTGCCAGGTCCACAGTCTCTCATGGGTCCCTGTACGGCCTCCCATTGCTGCTGTCTCCATCGCCACACTCTGCCATGTGCCACTTTCAGGTCTCCTCACACACTGCTGGTGTGTTCCATTTTTTGTCATGGGGTGCTGGCAGATTACGGGCCTCCCATTGCTGCTGCCAGGCCCGTAATCTGCCATGGGCCCCAGTACCGCCCTCCTCATGCTGCTGCCAGGTCCACAGTCTCTCATGGGTCCCTGTACGGCCTCCCATTGCTGCTGTCTCCATCGCCACACTCTGCCATGTGCCACTTTCAGGTCTCCTCACACTGCTGGTGTGTTCCATTTTTTGTCATAGGGTGCTGGCAGATTACGGGCCTTCCATAGCTGCTGCCAGGCCCCTTATCTGCCATGGGCCCCTGTACCGCCTCCTCATGCTGCTGCCAGGTCCAGGGAAGTCTCTCATGGGTCCCTGGACGGCCTCCCATTGCTGCTGCCAGGCCCGTAATCTGCCATGGGCCCCCGTACCGACTCCTCATGCTGCTGCCAGGCCCGTAATCTGTCATGGGCCCCTGTTGTCGCTTGTTGGCATATTCCGCTCGTTCAGATGCTCCTTCTCCTGCTACTCCTCTTCACGGATTCCGTCAGCAGTCTTTCTTGGAATCCGTTTCCAAGAGACAACAGTTTGCGAGCACGCACCCGACGGTGCAGAAGCTGAACGTCCTCCTGTCCAAGTTGCTGCTGCCAGGCTCGTAATCTGTCATGCGCCCCTGTACCGCCTCCTCATGCTGCTGCCAGGTCCAGAGTGTGTCATGGGTCCCTGTACGGCCTCCCATTGCTGCTGCCAGGCCCGTAATCTGCCATGGGCCCCCGTACCAACTCCTCATGCTGCTGCCAGGCCCGTAATCTGTCATGGGCCCCTGTACCGCCTCCTCATGCTGCTGCCAGGTCCAGAGTGTGTCATGGGTCCCTGTACGGCCTCCCATTGCTGCTGTCTCCATCGCCACACTCTGCCATGTGCCACTTTCAGGTCTCCTCACACTGCTGGTGGTTTCCATTTTTGTCATAGGGTGCTGTATGGCCTCCCATTGCTGCTGCCTCCACCGCCACACTGTTGCTCCACACTCTGGTTTTGGCCCCGTGACTGCCCAAATGAGTGAAGTGTGCGGTGATTCTAAGATCGACGGCACTCATCTGCATGTCATACTGACTGTCAGTATTTTTCTCTTCCCCAGCAGACTCCAAGGGCATTTAAATTAAAGGTACAGTGTTCTGCACTAATATAAAGGCTCTCTGAAGCCTAGAAACACCCTTTTATAAGTTAAATTCGCAGCGAATATATTCGACTCGAATCGAAATTTTTCCACGAATTCGCCGAATCAGTCGAATCGAATTTTTGAATACTTCGCTCATCTCTACTTACAAACTCTTACTACAGTAAAACAAGAAAAGGTAGTGCTATTTTCAAATTAAATATACAACTTATATTGTGACATAAAATAAATGTGAACCAAAATGTTTTTGAAATTTTCTTTCAACTGTGAAAAACGTCCATCATCAAAAATAATTGTGCAAATCCACCACTAACAGAAATGAATAAACTCACTAGAGCATATTGCTAGTTAAATTATAAACCAGCAATTGCACTTTTTGCTCTGGGAGCAATACTCTGCAGGCAGACACGGCAGTGACCAGATTTTCCAATAAATTCGCTTTCAGCTAATGGGGCAATGCTCTGTAGGCCAAGGAAACCCAGATATCCAGATACTTAATATATATCCGTTTTGGGAGCAATACTCTGCAGGTCTAGGAACTCGGCAGCGAAATCCTCCAAAAGATATTCCAAATACTTTATGCACAGGCTCAGAGAAAAAAAAGAAAACAAAACAAATGATCGTGTGATACCGTATGACATATTTATTGTTAAAAGCTCATCAAATCCACTCACATGAAAAAGCGTCTAGCCAACACTAGCAACAAACACATTTGGTTAAAACCATCATACAAAGCCAGGCACGCCAACTGCTTACGGAACGTAGTGACATCAGTCCGAAGCTCCACCCTAAGCATTTCGTCACCTGACGTCTTCACGGAGCGGTTCATCCTTCCAAACCTTTTGGGTGGAGCTCTGCTTTAAGGCAGGGGTCTCCAAACTTCCTAAACAATGGGCCATTTTACTGCTTTTCTGACTTTAAGGGGGCCAGTGAAAGTAGAAAATGCCCCATCATCAATGGGAGTCCACAATGCCTCAGGCTTGGTCATCAGTGGTAATTAAAAAAATGTGCTCAATAGGAGGAATAATACCTCACTGCTGGTGTCAGTGAAAGGAATAGAACCTCATCATTGGTGTCAATAGAAGAAATAGTGCCTCAAGGGTCAGAAAAAAGCAAGCAAAGGGCCACATCCGGCCCACGGGCCACAGTTTGGAGACCACTGGCTTAAGAAAAATTAACTATATAAATTCTCAACTCATCGTAATATGAACATTAATCATAAGTATGCATTGTATTATATTTTCATACAACACGTGTAACAGCACAATCCAATTGTGTGCTTTGCAGCTACCGGAGGGAAGGAGAGGAGGCAAGCCAACAGCACTGCAGGGGTAGGAAAACATATGGGGCACAGGGAGGGTGATGGATGCCCCAGGGGGGCAATTACTGGAATCAATCCCTTAAATGGCTCACTCTGCGGCAGCTGAAAGCCAGCAGAAGGGAGGAGAGAAGAAAGAGAGATAGCCATACAGGGGATTGGTTCCAGGAACTCCCCCCCCCCACACACACACACACACACACTGTGACGAACACCCTCCCTGCCCACATCTGATTCACTGAGCTGCTTGCGCCCCCCTGCTGGCCTGTACAGGAGGACTGGTGGCACCCCCTTACCCACGGCCCTGATCCCACCCACCACTACTTATCTTTAACTAAAAAGAAAGAAAGTTACATTTTGGCCTAACATACACTTTAAAACTGCATTATTTCAATTGATAATTTCCAGTGAAATATACATTTTCTTCTATTCCCAGCCGTTAGCTAGGTAAACAGCACAGAAGTACAAAATACAAGACGATACAATGCTTGAGAGGGTGTTAAGATAGAACTATCTTAAGTGAGCTTTGGCCTGATAAGCAACTGATAAGTCATGACATACATATTTCTCAGTGACAGCAGATCTTAGCTATAACCGTGCACCATCTATATACCACCATGAAACATAATTATTTTGTTGTTCTTTTTTTATTTCTTTTCACAATTATTTTTTGCAAGCCAATTTTTAGAAATGGAAAGAACACCCACAACAAGCTTCTTGTCATATCCTTTGATGGATTTCGCTGGAATTATGACCAAGATGTTGACACTCCACTATTGGATTACCTGGCTGAAATAGGTGTGAAAGCAAAACACGTGACCCCACCATTTGTAACAATGACATCTCCATCTCATTTCACTACCATCACTGGTAAGTAAAAAATTCAAGTTTTTATCATTATTAAGCAATTGCTAAACAATAAAAAGGTATTTGTGTGTAGGCAGGTGGCTAGGAACAGTGTGATGTGCCTACAAAGTACATCTGCTCCATATGTCCAGCGGTGTTGAGGAGTGATGCTGTGATTGTATGATCACTTAATGACTGCTGTTTGCTACAGGTGCTAAAAGAAGCCCTGCATTGAACGCGTGTGTCCTCTACTATGGTTTCCAAATACAATCTTAGGGAAGCCTGTGTCATATATTGACACTGAATTGTCAGAAAATGTGGACAGCCATCTTTGAACATAGGAGATCTATATAAAGAAAATTATTTGTTATAAATGTGCCATGTGTTGGGGAGTGGAAAAAGCAGGGGCAGGAACCCAACATGATAAGGACAGTTGGATCTCACCCCCAGTCAGGAGTGATTTGGAGTCCTGGATTAGAGATTGTAAGGAACCAAGTTTTCCTCCAGTTACTGGTCAGGAAATTACTAGAAGCAAAGGATCCCTGTACTTCAGAGTGAAAGCAAGTTTGACATAAACATCTGTCTGTATGTACTACATTTTGTTTGTTCACTTAGCTGCCAACTGTACTTTACTGGTTGAAGAAGGCCAGTTTTCATAGTTTATGCATATTTATTTGAAAAACAGCCATCATAAAGTAACACCTGGCTTCTTTGTGTTGTCTACTGCCCCATGGTTACACCCCCTTACACTTGGAACAGAGACTTTTTAGTCCACTATAATCGTTAATGTCAGGAGCCCTGTGCTGTGGTAGTTGCCGCAGGGTTTTTGGTACTGAAAATAAGGGAAGTACCAATGGTTTGTAACGTGTCAAAGAGCAACAAACTTTGCCTACCCCAAGCCCCTCAAAATTTAAAGCTAAACTGTATGCATATGGTTTTCAAAAAGCACACACTATTGCATCTCTGCATTCTCTAAAACATCAATAAATGTACTGGTTTACCCCTACACAGTGTATGTACTGTACCTGAATTTTACTCTGTATCAGTCTCTAGCAGTACCTGTAAAACAGGGCTGGAGTGTGAGAGGAAGGAGCTTTACAAGGAGAAAATCAGTTTTACATGCACTGCTCAAAACAATTAAAGGAACACTTGGAAAACACATCAGATCTCAATAGGGAAAAATATCATTCTGGATATCTATACTGATATGAACTGGGTAATGTGTTAGGAACATAAAAATGGAAAGGAAAAGGGAAAAAATGTCACCAGCACACCGAGGATCACCAATATGGGTCCAAAGGTTTTAATAAACGATCACATAGTTACAGCAAGGCAACGTTTCGGAGTCTCGCAGGACCCCTTCATCAGGCATGTGACCAACATAAGGAACATAAGGATACCTCATCGTTGATGGAAGTGAAAATAATCAACCTACAGAGGACTGAATTCAAAGACACTCCAAAAATCAAAGCGAAAAAATGAAGCAGCAGGCTAGTCCATTTTGCTGAAATTTCATTGTAGCAACTCAAAATGGTACTCAGTAGTTTGCATGGCCCCCATGTGCTTGTATGCATGCCTGACAATGTTGGGGCATGCTCCTAATGAGACGATGGATGGTGTCCTGGGGTATTTCCTCCCAGATCTGGACCAGGGCATCTCTGAACCCCTGGACAGTCTGAGGTGCAACCTGGTGGTGTCGAATTGACCAAAACATGATATCTCAGAGATGTTCTATTGGATTTAGATCAGGCGAGCATGGGGGCCATTCAATGGTATCTATTCCTTCATTCCAGGAACTGCCTGCATGCTCTCACCACATGAGGCCGGGCATTGTCGTGTACCAGGAGGAACCCAGGACCCACTGCACCAGCAAAGGGTCTGAAAATGGGTCCAAGGATTTCATCCCAACACCTAATGGCAGTCAGGGTGCCATTGTCTAGCCTGTAAAGGTCTGTGTGTCCCTCCATGGATATGCCTCCCCAGACCATCACTGACCCACCACCAAAACGGTCATGCTGAACGATGTTACAGGCAGCATAACATTCTCCATGGCTTCTCCAGACCCTTTGACATCTGTCACATGTACTCAGGGTGAAATTGCTCTCATCTGTGAAAAGCACAGGGCGCCAGTGGTGGACCTGCCAATTCTGGTGTTCAGTGGCAAATGCCAATCAAGCTTTATGATGCTGGGCAGTGAGCACAGGGCCCACTAGAGGATGTCAGGTCCTCAGGCCACCCTCTTGAGGTCTTCTTCTGATTGTTTGGCCAGAGACATTCACACCAGTGGTCTACTGGAGGTCATTTTGTAGGGCTCTGGCAGTGCTTATCCTGTTCCTCCTTGCACAAAGGAGCAGATACTGGTCTTGCTGATGGGTTAAGGACCTTCTGCAGCCCTGTTCAGCTCTCCTAGTGTTACTGCCTGTCTCCTGAAAATATCCTCCATGCTTTTGAGACTGTGCTGGGAGGCACGGCAAACCTTCTGGCAATGGCACATATTGATATGCCATCCTGGAGGAGTTGGACTGCCTGTGCAACCTCTGTAGGGTCCAGGTATCACCTCATACTACCAGTAGTGACACTCTCCCTAGCCAAATGCAAAACTAGTGAAAAACAGGCAGAAACGTGGTAGGGAAAAATATGTCAATGACCTCCACTTGTAAAACCATTTCTGTTTTGGGGGTCATATAATTTTTGCCCATATAGTGCACCTGTTGTTAATTTCATTAACACCACAGCAGCTGAAACTAATTAACAGCCCCCTCTGCTACTTAACTGACCAGATCAATATCCCAGGGAGTTTAATTGACTTGATGCTATACTCTGTTTAAAAAGTGTTCCTTTAATTTTTTTTGAGCAGTGTATATCTTATTGCCAATAAGAAAAGAAAGCACAGTGATAGAGAGATTAACTCAACACTGTATTGTTTCTCCTTTCATGGTTCAATCATGGGCTAGAGCAGGTCCAGAATGATGTTGATTGAATGATGCTGGCTATCAGACTGAGGACATCTAGTGGTAAAAAAAAGTACTGTTGGGAAAATCTCTAGATTGAAATTGAGTATTGCAGCAAAAACTAGATGTTTGGCTTACTTGTAAAATCCATTTTTTGTATTACATCATGGGACACAGCACAACTTCCTTAATTACACAATTATGTGCCACCTACAAGTAATTGGACACTGGCAAAAGCCAGGAAGTCCCCTCCTGTATACAGAAAGAAAGGTAGCAAGCTATCCCAGCATAGAGAGCAGGGATTTCTGTGTACCATGTTGTACTTCATGATGTAGTAAGACAAAAATACAGTTTTCTTAATCATACATCATGGGACAGAGATCAGTTCTATTATGCCTTGCTCACAGGGATGTCCTAAATCAATGCCCAAGGTGAGGGGGGGGTGTAGCAAACTTGCTCATAAGAGTGGGGCGCGGAGTTCCCCTTTTTTTTTATTTAGAAGTATTCTTCAGTCTTTCATTCCCTACCCCCTCCCTTCCTGAGAGGCAAACGTTATATCCTGACAGATGGTGTGGGTCAACCGCAGGGTAAGGCATCCCTAGTTGGTGCCGAGCAGTCTGCGATAGTGTAACGTTCCTCACCTCAGTCGGAAACACTGACTGAGAAACTTGTGTAGGCTCACCCATCATAAAACAGATAAAGCAGCTTCTCCCCGGACTTGAAAGAAGTTGTAACCTCACAAAAACCTAACAGTCAAAGATGACAGAGTGACATGAACATTCCTCAAGTCAGGCTTTTCCCCTATGTTTCATGTCATGGATTATGTTTGTAACAAGATGTTTGATTATGACAGATGTTGGTTCTAATTCAGAGTTCTCCCGACTGGCCCCTCCCAAACTTAATGGCCAGTATACAGAGCCGCCCCCCCCCCCCCCCCCCTCTTGAGAGGGATTTTAAAAACACAGGCTGACAAGCCTAAGGTGAGCTGCACACATCTCCTGAGCTTAACAGCGTAACAGAGGAGATCAAAGACCCTTCCTGCTCAGCAACTTGGATCTGCTTACAAACCAAGGCATATTGGCAAGTAACTTAACCCTTTAACTTCCTTCCTATTATCTCTTTGCTGTACCTTTATATGCATATATATATATAGTTACATTTTCTTTGTAAATATTTTATTGCACCTGTTTGACTCTTTTATTAATAAATCTTTCTTTCTGAAAGTGTTAAACTGCTTCTAAGCGCTTACTTGCAATTCACAAATTCCTGCCTTTGAAGAGACGCTACTGTGTTTGTTTAATCCTCTGCCCAATCAGCCTGCGGTGACCTTATTGGACAGGCGACTTTTCAATCATTATAGTGTATATAGGGAGTTTCCCAGTCTTCGACAAAAGTGGTGGTGGTAGTAGAGGGTTAGTTGTGTAATCAACCCGACCCAGTAACAAGCGCATTAAGGCTGCAGGCACCAATTGTAGCCCATTAGCTGGACAATCGCTGTGCAGGGTGCAGCTGGGTGGGGCCTTGTTACACGCGTCACACCGCGGTTTTTAGATCGTCTGGTCCTTCGGTCATGAGTTGGTGAGAAGGTCTGGGGTCTGACGCCGCGGGCGTGACGTATTACTGTTAGTCGCGGTCGTGCGATTGTCGCATGATGGTGGCGGCGACCGTGCGATCGTGACAGGGGGAACCACCCCCAACCACCTAACAGGCCAAAAAGAACTACACAGTAGCCTGCAAAACACTGCAACCAAATACAGCATCCTTAGAAGCTCTAACACCTACCTGGTAAAACTTTGTAGAAATGTGAACTGGGGACCAGATAGGAGCCTTGCAGACCTGAGCCACTGAGTTTGAAGATGAATAGCCCTAAAAGCACTATCATTTCTGATAGATTGTGCCATCACTAAAGAATATGGAGCCTTTCCTTTCAAACCTTAGACTTGAGAGACAAGCTCATGAATCCAACGTGAAATCAGTGGGAGACCCTTGTCCTCCAGTGACTAAGGCCTGGGGAAGAAAAGATAAAACAATATCCTGGTTGAGATTAAAAGCCAAAACAGAGGAGGCTGAAAGACTACCTTGGCATGTTGAAGGATCAGGAATGATTCTTCGTAAGAGAAAGAGTCGTCAGCTTGGATACCCTTCATGCTAAAGTAATGGCAACTAGGAACACCACTTTCCGTGTCAACAGATGTAAGGAAAGGTTCCTAATAGGCATAAATGGAGGTCTTTGTAGAACAGAGAAAACCAAACTGAGATCCCACAGTTACAGACAATCTGACTTAAAGAACAAAATGTGTAATAGATTGCACAGTCTCTTAAAGAGGATTGCCAAGGCTGAAATCTGGCCTTTGATTGTACGCAAGGCCAAATGCATACCAACTCATTTGGAGATAAGCCAAGATTCGCCCAATAACATCTATGAGGATGAAATTTCCTTGCCTCACACCACACAACATAAGATGTGATAAATCTGCCTTGAAATAGCCTTCCTGGTTCTCATAAGTGTGGGAATAACCAAATCAGATATTCCCCTTTACTCCAAGATTCTGGCTTTAATAGCCATGCTGTTAAAGGCAGAGACCATAAAGAAGCATGGATAATCATACCGTGCTAGAGGAGCTTGGGACTAATCAAAAAAGCCCTAGGTTCATCCACCAACACACTCACAATGTCAGAATACCATGTCCTCCTGGGCCAGGCTGGAGTGACCAAAATTACTGGTGTTGCTTCTACCTGAATCCTGAGGTGCAGGTGCTGCAACAGAGGGAAGGCATATATCAGAGAGAACTGATCCCATGGCATTACAAAATCATCTACTGCAATTGCCTGGGGATCCTTGGTCTTGGAAATAAACCTCTCCAGCTTTACACTGAATTCAGATGCCAGAAGATCCACATCTGGTCTGCCTGACCACAGACAGAGGTTCTTGAGTGTTTCCTGGGTTGAGAGCCTGCACCCCCAATGACAACTGCTGGTGACAGAGGAAGTCCACCTGCCAATTTTCCACTCCTGGAATGGGAACGGCAGACAGTTTGGGAACATGAAGTTCTCCCCAAGACAAAATGAGGTCCACTTGCTACTGGGCCATTTGACACCTGATGATTTATATATGCCACAGCCAGGGCATTTCCTGACTGAATCCTCAGCGGGAGAATGCAGGAGTTTTGGTGCGCTTTCAGAAAGTGCAACACACACGCAATATGTAATAGAAGTCTATGGCAACGTGCAGCTAACCTGCAGGAAAGCCGTAAGTGCAGTGCACTGCACCCATGGTGCGGGTAAAGCACAGCGTATCAGTGTGAAAGCAGCCTTATAGAGGGCGCAGGACAGTAGGGGCTCATGTATATTCGCAGTTTGGGGAGAAGTAAAGCCCCATAATTCATTGCGGCCCACGACTGTTTACCAAATCCCTTACATGGCCCTCGCTCTTCGAAAGATTGAGAACTCCTGTAGTAATGTACCTTTGAAGCCTTGAAATATATATTTAACTGTATTCTGTAAAGCTATTTACTATTCAGCTTCCCTTGACTGGTCTTTGTTATACAATTTTCAATATTTCCAATTTTTAGTAGCCATATTCTTTATGTCTGCACATTATAGGACGCTGGATGGAAGATCATGGTGTCATCCATAATCTAATGCATAATCCTGAAACTCTGGAAAAGATTACCTTTAAGAAAACGCAAAACATGTCTGAATGGTGGGATAATGGTGTATTGCCTTTGTGGATTACTGCACAAAATCAGGTAACGACAAAACTGCATCATGATACTTTGATAGCCAAGGTAGTTAACAGAATACATTCTCTGTTCTTAGTATGCTATTTTGCTAACCACACAGCAGAGTCAGTGCAGAACCGAGAGCACAGGTTTGGCAGAACAAGACAGTAATAAAATATTTACTATATAGATCATGTCGCACCAAATGTGCATGGGGAGCTAAACAATATTTTCATTTCAATGTGCTGTCCTGTTTGCGTATATAGTCAAAATCAAACCTGCATATTTGTCTGAGTAATCAGAGAAACACTTTGGGACTGAAAGTAAAGTTTCTTACCATGGCAAAAGTGTGCAAGAGGTGTTATTGTGGACCTGAACTCAAAAAGTAAAAATGTTAAATGTTATACGGTATGTCTGACAGTGCCTAAGCAGTACCTGGAAAATATACATATTTTTGTTTTGAATTCCTTAAAAAATAGCTATATATTTCCTGTGCCTAGACCTTCTGTACTATAGCCTCATAGCTGTATATTTTTAGTGAGAGTTAAAGTGTCGCTAAACACACATCATAAAAACTATCTATAAATGCTGTATTACATGCTGTTCATACTCACTCAGTCACTATGAGATCCATTTTCTGCATTCTGCAAAAAACCTGGTTGATCCTGCTGCTCTCTATCTTCACCTTCTGATCATGTCCCCAAATCAGCTAGGGATTGTACAGCTGTAGAAGGAACTCTGCACATGGTCAGTTTTCAGTGATTTTCTATACTGAGCATTTCCACCCTATCAAATTTGAGCAGCCCATGTGACTATAAAGTCACACATGTAGGCATATCCATAGTGGTAAATGACAGCCCACTCCCTCCATCCTCCTCCTCCTTGCCCACTAACCAGTTAAACACAATGGGGGCAGGATATTACATGTAGATTAATAGAGGAATCACTTCCTTCTTATTCTAAGACATAGGCTGGAGGGGTGTGACACTGCCTATAAATGGCAAAAATCTGCCCCACACCATGTTGTTGCCAGAAAATAATAAAGATTTTAAATATATATATATATTTGTATGACAATTTACAGTTTTACTTTTATTAAGTATTCCAAAGGCTTTTTTTTTTATTTTGAACATGTGACCAGTGGACTAGAGGACTAGAAGCTCCTCCTGCTTATGTTTGCCTGCAGATAGGCTGGGAAAGAGCTAAGTCATGTGACAGCTGTATATCAAATAGGAAAAAGGTACTTGGATTTTTTTGTTTAATTAAAATAATTACAGTGCCGTCATCCATATACAGAAATAGAAGGTACAATTTAAATTAAACAGTGTGTGTTTAGTATCACTTTAAGGCACTGTGCCCGTGACTGTTAGTTCACAAGATATGGAGTGAAATTTGGGTGATGTCACTGTTCTCTTGGCTGGAGAGGCCTCTGTACCAGAGGGCCTGCAGATAAGCATCTCCCTGCTTCTGCTTCATTTATTCTGGGGATCAGTATTTGTAATGTACCTCGTGGTGGAGCCTGAAGTGCTGGGGAAAGCCTATTTTACAGCCCTGGCTCATGAGTCCCTGGTAACGTACCTGACAAGTCTCTGGCTGGTTGGTGCAGGTATGCTTCTGGAAAGCAGAAATTCAGGACTGGACATACTGGCGGAAGGACTGGAACCAGGGAAGGATGCAGGATAGCTGATGTGGATGAGGATCAGGCACAAGACAAGGTCAGACGGTCTGAATAAGCAACTGGAAAGCAGAATGGGTACAAGTTGCAGGCAGGAGAGTAGTCAGTTGCCAGGCCAAAGTCGGTAACAGCAGGCAGTAAGAGCAGCAGGAGCAGGCAGAGATGTAATCCAGAGACAAGCCAGGGGTCGGTTCATACAGCATTTAGAGCAGAGTCAGAGGCAGGCAATGTTGGTTGAAGATCAAACAGTAACTAGAATCAGGAACACAGGAATGTAGTAGACCAAATGGCACTGATAGTAATTATATCACAGAAACTCCAGCTCACAAAGAAACCCTTTCAGTATATAATATGGATGAAAATTTGCTGCTGTGCACCAGTGTAATACACCAAAATAACAAAAAGAATACATAAACAGCGCATATCAAAAAAACCTTCTCATTCAAAATAAGGTATTATAAATCACTTATAAATATTATAAAATTATAATTGCAGTCTTTTGCAGTCTATCAGTGCCATTTGACAAAAATAATATATAAACAGTGCAAATCAAAAAAAAACCTTCTCATTCAATATAAGATATTATAAATCAATTATAAATATTGTGAAATAACTAATTTAATATAGTGTCCAAAAAAATATATTTAAATAAATACTTTTGTCCACAAAAAATATTTTTACAAAAGTCCTGTCATCCCAAAAAGAATTTTGATATAAATATCTTCTCCAAATCAAAAGTGCTTCCACCATCCACCAGTGTGAAATCAAAATCAACCGCACTCACCAGATGTTGGTGAGTTTTGCGCCTTTTAGAATTTAAGGGATCCTAAACCCCCTCTATATCCTCCAGAACTCCTTATCTGCTTTGCAAGGCTTGGTGATTCCACTCACTCCTCATAGGAACTCCACAGCGGTGCAAGAGAGAAAAAAATATAAATTCTTGAGAACGCCCTGTGGGAGGGGCGAAACGCGTCGGCGCACTTCCAGTTATGCTTCTTTAAACTCCAGATCCTCACAAAATAAAAAAAAAACATACCATAGAGCAACACTGTTATATATAACCAAAAATTAAACGTGTTACAGTATCCACTTGCATTATTTATTTATTTATTTATTCCAGGTACTTATATAGCACCATCAATTTACACAGCGCTTTACATATATATTGTACATGCACATCAGCCCCTAACCCTCAAGGGGCGTACAATCTAAGGTCCCTAACTCACATTCATAGACAGACTAGGGCCAATTTAGACAGGATCCAATTAACCTACTAGCATGTCTTTGGAGTGTTGGAGGAAACCGGGGAGAACCCGAAGGAAACCCACGCAGTCACACGGAGAACATGCAAACTACAGGCAGGTGGTGCTGTGGTTGGGATTTGAACCAGTGACCCTAGTACTGCCAGGCGGAAGTGCTAACCATTTAGCCAGTGTGCTGCCCATATGCCCACGGCATTAGAAAAATTATATGTGACTCTGAATTATGGTGAACATATATGCATTACTCCACTGTAACTATATGCCAACTATATTGTGGTGATTCCCATCACAGGGTAGGTGCACCATGCACTCACCTTCTTCCCTTCCCTGCACCATACAAGCTTGGCTGTGTGTGTTCGTAGACACACAAAACACAGCTCAGCCACATGTAGGCAGGTTGAAATATGTTCTAGTTAGGTGCTGCCCCAGACAGGAGGGTAAGGGTTAATGCCTTTTGTGGTTCTTTAGTTTTGGCAGGATATCTCTAGGTCCAACCCACTGATCCTGTGATATAAAAGAGGGACAGTAGTCCAGAGCAAGAGAGGGGAGAGAGGGGGGGAGAAGAAGAAAAAAGATAGGAGATCAGGAAACTGTACCCAGGAGCAGTATAAGAATGTTGCCTGCTGCTGCCATTAATGTAGAAGGTACTCTGTGTCTGGGGTTCGCCCCCAAAGACACTGCTGGGAAATGCCACTGATGGACCTTTTAGCACTTGCACTCTACCTCTTGCAGGTATCCTGAAGCAGCACATACCCTGAGTTGGGAGTAGGGTTGTAAGGATATTTTGTATGTTGGACTTTGAGATGTTCATTTTGCACTTTTCCAAGTAAAGCTTTGAAACTTTTTGACCGCCTGGTGTAATGCAAGTAACCAGCACCTATGATCTAAGGCTTGGGTTATGTTACACATTTGGGTGTGAAGACAGCTCTGCAAGAGTTAACACAGTGTGAAGTGCAAATCAGTGGTTACCTATAGTAACAGAGGTTTGACAAGCAGCCTGACGTTAGCGTGTACCTGTTATAGGTGGACCAGCCTCTAGCAACGAGGGAGATGTTGTTGGCACTCTTTCCGCAAGCATTCTGTCTCCCACGGTAATGGGAGTGGATCTGCATCACAGAGGTCTCCTCCCTGTACAGACGAATGCAAGATCAAGAGCGGCGTTATGTGCATGTGTCGCCTGCGCAAGGTGAATGGCGCGGCCCACTCTGCTACTGGGGAATATTAGTGGAAAGCACTGGACAGGTGGTTGTGGACAAGGCTCAGTGTATCCCTCCTAATTGCATGTTTACAGTGGTAAGATGTACATTTACACGGGGACTTGAGAGTCAACTGGAGATCAGTTATGGTGCAAGTGTACATGGTGTACGGTCATCTTTAATAGTAGAGGCATGCCTTAAGGTCAGGTATATCGTCAGCCTTGTCCCAGGGCACTGGTGAAAATGGCACATAAAGGTACCCCACGTGTATTGAAAGTGATCCTGTTACTGTTGCCTAGCATAGCCCAAAAGAACCCACCCTGGGGGTAGTCCTCTTATGTGACCCAGACTTGGCACCCAACAAGTTAATGGGGACACAGAGGAATGTTCACTATCACCTGCCTACACTATATAACCCCCCCCCCCCCCCCCCCCACTCAACTCCCTTGTCACAGGATATGACTGACAGCAGGAGAAGGCTATAGTCACTATTGCTCTCAGTAGATCCTGTGAGAACAGGAAGAAAGAACAGAGATGCTGCAGACAGCTACAGTGCTGGATCAGTGGAGTGGTAAAGTAAGTGTTTGGGGGGGGAGCACAACAACTAGTGGGATGGTTTTTATCTTCATGCAGGGAATGCATTAGAGCAAAAAATTAAAAAAGTTTATACTTTATAACCACTTTAATCTACACTTGTCCCTCCCTGCTATGTGACCCTGCTGTTGTTTTAATGTGCCTGGGAAGGAGAGGTGCAGCATCTAGCTCCACTGCAGAAAGCCTGCCAAAATCAATGGCAGGATGTGGCTGGAAAGGGCTGAATGCTGTATCAAGTGGCTGTGGCATTTATGGCCCTGTATGTTCAGGGAGGAAGGTCCTGAATGCAGGTTAGACGTG